CAAGTATAGTGAATCGATGTTGGGAAAATCCGCGGTTTTGGGGAAAATGCAGAAATGCCCAAATGACGGACTACGGCTTGATAGGGATTGATCTGTCAGCCCCGCTACCGATAGAAATGCAGACTCTATGGGACTTTGGAACGCATTTCTGCAGATTCCGCATACCTACTTTCTCCCAATTCCGCAGCTCTTCAAATCGATACGTACACCTTCCATCGGCGGTTTCGTCATTTCTTCAAACTCATCATGTGTGAGCTTGGCCTCAGACTCACACCCTCAAATAACCCGCGCGCGTAACCAACTGTTGTACATTCCTGTGTAACGACCAGAGAAATCAGTGCGTTGTTACCTTAGCAACTTTCTTTGATGATGAATCTGTTCAGGCTGTACGTGAAGGCAGTCTTCACGGGATTCAAGCGTGGACTTCGTACACAGTCTGAGCACACCGCCCTGCTCAAGCTTGATGGAGTGTTCAACAAGGACGACGCCAAGTTCTACATTGGAAAGCGCGCTGTCTACCTTTACAAGGCCCACAACAAGACAACCGTAAGTTTCTTTGATTGCTTGATTCGCACTTTTCTTTTTAAATTTTTTTTTATTTTTATTCTAAGTTCTGAATGAATGTGATAATATCAGCACGTTGTGCCTTCAATTTTTGCACTCTCGTAATCTAGTAATTTACATTCCGAAGTTGACGTGTTATTTCGAGTTTTTTTTACTCTTTTAAATCTTCTCGTTACTTTTCCGTGCAAGAACTCTGATTTTAAAGTGCATGTAACCTTTTCTTCGAGTAGACCAATGATGTTCTTTCATACTACGACCTCCTACTCTAGAGAGGGAATTTTAGCATACCAGCGTCCCTTGAGCGATTATTTGTCGACACCTTTCTAATGTCACGGTGCATACCATTTTCAGCTTTGGCGACTTTCAAGATCACCATGAACTGAAGTCTCACCACCTGTCTTTGAGGCATTGTTCAGTCTGCGGCCCATCGTTTCTCTAGAAAGAAACGCTACGGCGAAAAGCTTTCGATATGTATCGATTGGCGGTTGGGCGAAGAGTCTGGCGGTTGGGCGAAAGGGTTTTGATACGAATCGACGGGCGTTTCGCCAAACCGCGGCGTTTTTCGCCTTCGCGAAACGCTAGCTCGACCGCCCTGGCGTTTTTCGCCAGCGAAATCGATACGCATCTATTGCTTTTCGCCCAACCGCCGAACCGCGGCGGTTCGGCGAAACTAGCGGTTGGCGATTCTCCGATCAATCCGTATTTTTGCTTTTCGCCCAACCGCCGTTTCGTGATTGGTCCCAACACCCTGTGAACGATTGCGCCTGAAGTTTGGGTCATCCAGTTTTTCGAGTTGTCCGCCCTTAGTACTCATCCCTGTCCCGTGCGGCGGAGTAGAATAGGCAGCTTTACGCACACTCGAAGAACACGTCACTTTCACATTCCATGTGTATAAAAAATTTCGCTTCGTGAGGGTGATCCGGCGGCATGTGGTCCCTGCTGTTCGTTGAACGTCCCATGGAATCCAAGTCGAAACACTCTTTTCTGATCCAGCTTTGGATTATGTTGACTGCTTGTTGAACCCACCTGTGCAGAGTTCAAATATCTGAGGCTTACGTTGAAGGCGAAACCCGCTATTACGGACTTTTGTAATGGAGCTCACACACGAACAACGAAGATGTAAGTAAATTTAGCTAGAGCTAGTGAGAAAAAAGCGAAGCCGTCCGGAAGGCCCCTATAACAAGACCGCCTTGCCGTCGTCAGCATTGACCATGGCATGCTCGAAGAGAAGGCGTCTTGGTACGAATTCTCACTTGTTTCTCATTATTCTCATTATCATAACAATATCAGCTATTTTCTCTTATCACCTTACTTTCACCATTCAGAATGGTGTAGTGTAGAGAAGCTACTAGCTGTTAGATAGTAGCCTGTTCGGATTAGATCGTTCGAGGGGTTACTCTATGACGCCCAGGGGGGCTTCTGAATCAGCTTCCATTAGGATTCTTGCGAACTTGTGCATTTTTTAATGCTTCTACAACCGCCTACCGGATCTTTCGAACACATTTGAGAGCTTATAGCCTTAGTTTATTGTGATGTGCCTTCAAGCAGGAAATACTTCAGAAACGAAATGGTGGGCACAGAACATGACGTTCGTTGTCTTTATTATTCTATCGATGTTCCGAATAATCCTGCCGCTCGTTTCTTCCCGCTCTTCCGCTTAGCTCTGCCACTTGTTCATTGTGCTGGTTTTCCGGCGGCCTAGGTACCTAAAGCTCGCTCAGAGTTGGCTCCGTTGATAGAGAACTCTGAGAACGAGTAGCAGAAGGCCAGCGCGAACCAGTCTTTCCGCAGGCCCAAATTTTATCCCTTCTTCGTCATAGTAGGAGGACAATGAGCTGTGATTATCTAGCTATAGTGCTGCGCTTCATTTTTGTGAGAGAAAGAGATTCTCCAATGCCCCTATGCCGTAAAGGTCGCACAGTTGGATTTTATCAGATTTTTTAAATTGCTCCAGTTTAACACGGAGCGGAACTGCTGTCGCCCTGGTGAGGCATATCAGCAGAAATGGTTTTTGGGGGACACTAGAGGGAACTTGTGGGTGAGCCTACACCTTGGTTGTTTGTTTCTTGTAATTTCTTGGAAGCTGCAAAGAGAGATTTTTGATCCAATTGAAGCGGTTCTTATTTGGAATTTCGTACGCTGAAGTGAGCAGTTCAGTGGAGTTCCTTCTATTGTTATTAGGGTGTAAAGCGGTAGATAGCCAGGGAGCAAGCATTCCAGTCAAAATATGTTGGATCGTTAGGCCTAGCTGTCTGATGAGGTATTTTCTGACCTCAGTTTTACACGCTTCACTCAAGACACTTGGCACTTTGGCCATTCCGAAATCTCATTCACATTGTGTTCATATTGCAGCGAAAGGTCGCAGACTTCACGTCCAAAATCAGCGTGTGGTTTTTTTTTGCCGGACGGCAAGTGAAGTGTCATCAGTGCTAGCAGTAATGTGACGATGTAGCCCTTGTTTGCAAGGTATGGCATGACCAAGGAGTACTCATCGATGGTCTGGTCATGAACAATCCACAAGGCACAGCACGGCGCTAGATAAGTACGCCCCCTCCCCATCCTCAAATTTTCTCCATTAGGAAGGGGGAAAATCTCACAAATCAGAGAAGTCCTTCTCGCAGCGTGGAACGCACGACTACCTCTCTCCCCTACCTACTAAAATACACCCCCCCCTACTGCGATTTGCCGGTGATGAGCGCTGAAAGCGGAAAAAATCAACTATTGTGGAGGGCGATCGTGGCTTCTCTCTCTCACAAATTTCAAACAATGACCCGTCCGTTGTGTTTTTCACTTCCCTTCTTCATTACCTTTGGTAGTGTTTGGTTACTGAGACGGGTCATCAGGCCGGTTGTGTTTCTATTCGCAGGCTAAGTGACTACTTGGACTTTTTGCATAGGTAACGCCCTAGACAAGGGCTTTTCAAAGTTAGATGACTTGGAGGGGGTGAGCTATTTATTATAGAGGGGTGGATTGAGTTCGAGTTGTCCGTTTAACCTAATCATTGAGAAACTCTCCATTGCTCGACGAGTTTTTCTTTTGTTGAGAAACTAGAGCTGAGATAAGATGAAGAGGTAGGCTTATTTGGATTTCATCCTGATGCAGGTCGTTAGAGGCAGTAAACGG